CCATGTAACACGAGCCAGAAAATTGGTACAGCAGAGGAGGTTTTGCTGGATCGGTGAGTTTTTTTTTTTTTTTTTGCACAAAATTGCAAAGGTCAATGTGGACAGAATTCCTTAGAGAGCTGGTGATGTTCCCAACATCAGCTGACCAGCTCTCTGTATCTGTGTTTCCTGAGTTTTCTCACTATTATGATTTTGATCATGTCACCTGAAGCATTTATTCCCCCCAGGGCAACAGAATAACACAGAGAGCAGCATGTACAGTACAGCCAATGCTGAGCAAAAACAAGACCATCAACTCATGCCCATGGAGTCAGACCTGATGGCAAGAAGTTACAATTCCTCCTTGGAAACTCAAGATCAAGTGTCCAGCTGCAACAAACCAAAAGATAAGAAAACCTGCAGTTATAATTGTAAGGGTATTGTCACTAAGGGAAGAGAGGTTTGTTTCTGGCTACACACCTACAAGCCTTCAAAAAGGAAAAGAAGAATCAACAGAACCAACAGCAACACTTACTGTCAGAACAGGGCTCTAGAGTGAGAAAAATAAATTGACTTTTTGTCATAGTATCTGTGACATCTGATCAGTTCATTTATTTCTGTTCTTCAGTGTTATCAGCTTATCTTTCATTTCTTGTAGTTGATCTAATTTCTTATGGATTATCATTTCTCAAGCATTTTAGCTAAATAATAAACTGATATTCTCATTTGGCCATAGTAAATAAAAATAGGCCTGTTTATTAAAGGAATAGAGTAATAAAAAAGTTATTAGGCCTGTTTATTAAAATATATATTATAAAAGCTAATAGGCCTGTTTATGAAAGGAATAGTGGAAAAAGCAATATTATGGATAGAGGACATATTTTAGCTGTAAGCAACAATTAGAAGTTAAAAACGTCTTACTGATGGGTTTGTTTCTTACAAACATGCAGCTTTTTACTTTAATAATATGTTAATTGATGCACTGCAGTCGTGATGATTATTGTAATGTTTTTATCAGCTGTTTGGACTCTCATTCTGACGGCACCCATTCACTGCAGAGGATCCATTGGTGAGCAAGTTATGTAATGCTACATTTCTACAAATCTGTTCTGAAACAAACTCATTTACCTCTGGGATGTCCTGAGAGTGAGTACATTTTTAGGTAAATATTTCTCTAAAGCCATTTGCTCACAAAACCTTTGCATTCCCCTGAGAAACTTTGCGTTTAATGCAAAACTGGTGATATAAATAATAAGTGGTGGGAAGAAAAATTATATTTCAATGTTTTTGTGATACCAACCTTTAGGGGCTCCATAATACGGGACATAAATGAGATGAGAAGAAAACATTTATTTTAGTGCAACAAATCTTTGGCATTCTCTAAGGAAACTGGTGATGGAAAGATATGAGGTAGATATGAGATAGCAAAACTATATTTCAATGCAAAGGTTTTTGGGTGAACACAATACTTTTTGCAAGAGAATGCAAAGTTTCTTTGGGGAACTCAAAAGTGTGAACCCCAAGTCATTGAAATATAATTTTTTCTCCCATCTCATATTTTTTCCATCACCAGGGGCTCTGTATAAATGAACATTTGGAGTAGTGCTACACCCAGAGGTAAACCCAAATTTACTTCTCAATTAATGGTAATGCAACAACTCAGGTTTAATAAACTGACCTTTCTCAGAAATATTCTATAATTTTAGCTTCACTTCCTCTTTCCTGTTTCTTCTTTTCTAGTGAGCAGATTTTCGGTTGTTCTCTGTCAACATGACTCACAGATTGAACTTCTCGCATCTGTGCAGATTCAGAACATGCAGCAGAATAGAGGATCAGATGGGTTTTTGAAGTGGGTGGAGGAGACCACAGACTGAAATATTAAAACACAGAGCACAATTTGTTTGTTTATTTTTGTTAGAACATAAAGCACATTTAATGTATTATCACATTCAATATAAATCACATTTCTATCAAAAAGTGCCTAACATGTAAAATATCACATTTCTCAGATCACACACTTGCTTTGGAATGCCAAAAAAAAAAAAAATCTAATTTATAGCATACCTATATCAAATGCATATCATATATTCATAAACCAATAGGGGTTTCTGCCACAAGTCTTTATTCATATTGAATGAATGATATGTCAAAGTATATGACTTTCATTCTTCATTATTCATTCGCTATACTGTACATTTGGAACTGGTAAGATTTTTTGAAAGAAGTCTCTTAGGCTGGCTGCACACTAGACGATTTTAAGCCCGATTTGCATCCCCGAATGATCGGGGGGTGTGGCCCGATTCGCAGCTTGTCGCAAAAGATTTTTTGTCCAAAAAATCCTCTATTGTGTGGTGTCATTACGATTATTTATCTGCTCCCGATCGAGACAGAGTGTCCCCAAACTCAAATCGTAAATATCAAACATGTTTGATATTTACGACTCTTGATCGGGCTACCTCTGACGTGATACCCGCGATAGCCAATGAGAGCGAGCAAGCACCAACTACCGGATGTTGCGTGCTTCTATAGCTGAAACTTGGCAGCTACAAAATGCCATGAAAGCAGTCTTTAAGCCTAGTTCTGGCAGTCGCCTGGCTGGTCTTACGGTGACGGTGAGGAATTCCCCTCTGAGGAACCAACCCCCGAGGGCTCCTCTCTCCGCCGGCACTTCACAGCCAGTGGAGCTGCCCAAGGAACGGGCTGGACCCTCCCGTGGGGTACCACTCGTATCCTTCGGCGCTCCTCCCGATGATCGGATGCCGATCGCTGCATCGGGATCGGATGCCGATCGCTGCATCGGAGGGTGAGCCAGACCTTTCTGGAGATGATGATCCGGCGGCCAGCAATGCCGGATACGGATCCGAAAATGGTGGCTATGCTTGCCCAGGCCGCCGAGAGGGTTGGGCTCAAGTGGAGGCTTCCACCGCGTCCCGAACCCTTGAGGCTGGACGATTGGTTTCTCGGGGTGGCTCGCGCTGGGTCTCAGGGCCCCACCCTGGTGCCTTTCTTTCCGGAAGTGCATGATGAGCTCATTGGATCGTGGACGGCACCTTTCACTGCCAGAAACCGCCCCGGTGGCTCATCCTCCCTCACCATCCTCGACGGTGGGGCAACTCGGGGGTATATGGAAGTCCCTCCGGTGGAGCGGTCGGTTGCGATGCAATTGTGTCCAAATACCACTGCCACCTGACGGGGCAAACCGTCACTCCCCTCCCGGGCCTGTAGGTACTCGTCGGCGCTAATCGGCAGTGCTTATGCGGCCTGCAGAGAAGCTGCCTCCGCCTTACATGCCATGGCGTTATTGCAGGTTCATCAGGCCAAGGCACTGAAGGACCTGCACGAGGGTGGTCACGACCCAGAAGTTCTCAAAGAACTCCGCACCACTACTGACCTCGCGCTACGTGCGACGAAGATCACTGCACGGTCTCTGGGTCGTGTGATGTTCACTATGGTGGTCCAGGAGCAGCATCTCTGGCTGTGTCTGGCCAACATGAGGGAGGCCGACAAGACTCGGTTCTTAAATGCCCCCATGTCCCAGATCGGCCTTTTCAGCGACGCAGTGGAGAACTTCGTCCAGCAGTTCTCCGCCGCACAGAAGCAGACCGAGGCCATCAAGCACATCCCTCCCCGGCTGGCCCGCTCCCGCGCAGCAAATGCAGCAGCCTCCAGCAAAGCAGTGCAGTGGAGCCGGTCACAGGGCAGCCGCCCCGCCCGTCCATGCCCACGCCAAACCTGGTGGCAAGCGGAAGAGCAAGAGGCCCTAAGACGGGCGACCCAGAGATGGAGGAAGTTGCTCTTCGTGAGATGGTGAACGCACCACTCCCTCCCCCGGAGGATGGCTGGGCGGAGAATCTTTTGTTTCTTTTTTTCCCGCCACTGACTTCACGGACAGTGGTACCCAAAACCTTTCTTCTATAAAAGCAGTTTCTTCTATCCCTGGGTCCCCAGAGGAGATGGGGAGTTGTGGACGGGCCAGTTTCGGATCACACTCTTCTCTCCTCTCTCACCAGTCGCCTCTGGCTTGCTTAGTTGGGGACACTTCATTTCCAGCGATACCGTTGACTTGATTGCAAAGATACTATTTAAACTGAGCTGGATGTTGACATCACTGAATTCAATGATGAACTGTCTTTAACTGAAAAATTTGTGTTTACTATTGTCATTTTGCATTATTGACACTATTTTCCTAATTAATGCTGTTCAGTTGCTTTGACACAATCTGTATTGTTAAAAGCGCTATATAAATAAAGGTGACTTGACTTGACTTGACCAGTGAGCAGCAGTGGGAGGTCGAGAGTGCTATCAAATGTACTACTCACGCACCCTCTGCCTCTGAATGCAGGTAAGTGTTACACATACTCAGATCCCGCTTCGGACCGTCTATGAGACGCCTGGGCCAGGTCCCTGCATTCCTCTTCGCTGCCCCACTGCGGGTACGATGGTGGTTCGGTTGGTGCCAGTTGCTCCCCAGTCCATCTAGCTGGCTCCTTCAGACCATCAGACTCGGCTATGCTATTCAGTTTGCCTGGCGTCCTCCAAGTTCAGGGGCGTCCACTTCAATTCAGTGAAGGCTGCAGATGCCCCTGTCTTGCATGCAGAGATCGCAGTCCTATTGGCGAAGGATGCGATAGAGCCGGTCCCTCCAGCCAATATGCGGTCCCTCCAGCCGATATGAAGACGGGGTTTTACAGCTCCTACTTCATTGTACCCAAGAAAGGCGGTGGGTTATGACCAATCTTGGATCTGCGTGTCTTGAACCGGGCCCTTCACAAGCTACCATTCAAGATGCTCATGCAGAAGCGCATTTTCGGGTGCATCCGTCCCCGAGATTGGTATGCAGCGATCGACCTGAAGGACGTGTACTTTCATGTCTTGATCCTTCCTGCGGTTTGCATTCGAAGGACGAGCATATCAGTACAAGGTCCTGCCCTTCAGGCTGTCCCTGTCGCCCCGTGTCTTCACGAAAGTTGCAGAGGCAACCCTTGTTCCCCTGAGAGAGCAGGGCCATTCGCATTCTCAACTACCTCGACGACTGGCTCATACTAGCTCAGTCTCAGGATCAGTTGTGCGAACACAGGGACTTGGTGCTCTCGCACCTCTGCCGGTTGGGCCTTCGGGTCAACTGGGAAAGGAGCAAACTCTCCCCGACGCAGAGGATCTCTTTTCTCTGTATGGAGTTGGATTCGGTCGAACAGACAGAACGCCTCCCAGAGTAATGTGATCAGTCAGTGTTGAAATGCCTGAATATGTTCAAGAGCAGGACGGTGGTCCCACCGAAACAGTTTCAGAGGTTCCTGGGGCATATGGCAGCTGCAGCGGCAGTCACGCCCCTCTGAGGAAGGATCCACTGACTCAGAGACGGGGCACCCTGTGGCACCCATGTCCAGACTTCTGGAAACCTCATGTCTGGTCCCTGGACGGGACGTGGAGGTTTTAGGTGACCTATCCCAGGAGGTAGTTGACACCATCACTTCGACGAGAGAACTGTTTACGAGACACGCTTAAGCCTTGAAGTGGAACCTGTTTGTCGACTGGTGTCCTTCTTACCGAGAAGACCCCTGAAAATGCACGATCAGAGTCGTGCTGTCCTTTTTGTCGAGCTCTTTCAACCCCTCCGCAGCCAGACGTGGCGGAATGTCCGGCGCCAGGCCCTCGTGTGGAGCCAGTATCCTCCTGTGTTCTCACCTCAAATGGGTAGAAGCACTGAGAGGCCCTGGTTTAGTGTCGGTTTGCTAAAACCGCTCCAGAGTGTCCATACTGTAGACCCTGTTGAGCTCCTCCATCCCCTCGGCAGCCAGACGTGGCGGAACATCTGGCACCAGGCCCTCACTCGATGAATCCTTGAGAACCGGTAGAGGGCTGGGTTCTATATGTAGAGACCTAAGTGGATCCCATATGTGTAAAGCCCACTGTATAGCCTCAGAGCCCGTGTTTCCCCGGCAGTCTTTCTGCCATTTTCCAAGAGAGTTACAATCACCTGTAATCTTCCATATGCACCTAAATGGCCATTCATATGTGTAAGTTTTTCCGAAACCTCCTTTGGGAAGGATGGGGCTTCTGCAATGTTCCTGTTCCAAGTGGAACGGGTACGTTTTCCCAGTGTTAGCACTACCCACTCAGTGAGATTGGATATGACAACAGTGACTGGCCTTCTTGTTGCGAGCCCCGGCCTACACCAAAAAGGGGCGCAGGAGGCTCGCGCAAGACACTGGAAGGGGCAGCATCCATAGCGCTTTGGTAGGGATCCCAATACGTCGGTCACCGACGTGACTCGGAGTGACCGACTGAAAGGGAACGTCTCGGTTATGTATGTAACCCTCATTTCCCGAAGGAGGGAACGGAGACGTCACGTCCTGTCGCCACAGCTGCTGTACCACCGCTTAGCGGCCGGGTCACCGGCTTGGCTCCTCAGCGAAAACCTGACTATGCGTTGAACAAAAATAACTGAACATTTAAATACAATAAAGCAATACCCAAAAGATTTATAAAGCTAAAACTTTTACACAGATTAAAGTGCAAAAGAATTCTAAAGACCAATAGGTACCACTTTACAATCAAAACACTTTCAAACAATATCTAGGGCATGTTGTAGTCCAGATTAAAATGTAAAAAACTTGTAAAATAAATAGCCAATTAAGTCTAAATATTTAAGTACTTGCCACTGTGATGAACACCACTGCGAATACAAAAATCTGGGGCCAGTTGCATAAACTTAGCCACCATGTTAAGACTGTGTCTTAAGAACTAGTTTGACCAACTAGCAGTTGCCAAGGGGTAATCAGTCTTAATTTTCCAATACAAATAAGAACAATCTACCTTTTCATAACTGAATTAAAAAAGTTATTACCAGTATTGAAGAGAAAAAAATTAGGTGACTAACTATTTAAGACTAGACTAAACAGTTTATGCAACCGGCCCCTGAATGGCTTTTTAAATCATTTAAACACGTTTCAGAAACAAAGCAGCTGCTGCTTTAAATGCTTTTGCATTTTGTGTGTGCAATTCTTGGATTTGTGTGTAAAGTTTTGGAAAAAAAAGGAGGCAAAGTTTTGAAAATGTAAGTAGTTGAAAAAACTGTAAGAAGTATTTTTGTGATTTAAGTAATTTTATTTAAATAAAATATTACAAAATATTTGTAATCTGTGGGGTTATTATTATAACCAAAATATATATATATATATATATATATATATATACACACATACATATTAATTTAGTTTAAAGTAATAAAATAACTAAAAATAAGTAAACTAAAACTAAAATGTATAAAAAGTATACAGACATTGAAAAACTGACCAAAAATGACCAAAGCACACAAAAAAATCGTTAAAACTTTTATATAAAATTTAAAATATAAACAAACACAAAACAAACACATAATTCAAAATTTTAACAAAAACTATGATAGCATATTAATGATACTAAAACACCACTGGTAATGTGAGATTAATAAAGTCAAATATTTTGTAATCCCTAACAGCTTTGTGGTTAATATGCAGTTTTTGTGCCTAAATCATAATAATAAATTAAACAATCAACAAAAATAAACTATATAGACATTGCTATTTGCATTTTTTGTCAACTCTGTGGTGTTTTTTTAACACAAGGTACACATCTCTTCAGGGTCCGTGTGGAGAGAGCACAGTGATGTTTCCATCAGATTGTTGGACACAATTCAGGAATTACAGCAGCATTTCCGCAATAGCCATCCTCCAGCTCTCTCCCCCCTCCTCCTTTCTGCAGTCTAGACCATAACTGCAAGCAAGAACATCTCTATGGCTTTTTGAGCAGATGTGCATATGGCTGTGAGCATTATGCATAATTGATGATCATTATCTTATTCACAAATAAAAGCTGAATATATGCCCACATCCTACTGCTGGACTCAAAAACTCCTCCAACTCAGGAGCTGAACACACAAATTCTTTGGTGACTGAGGGCAAACAGACCTGGATATGCAGCTGTAAGTGTGGTTACCATCTCTATCACCGGAAGCATCCCATAGAGGTTATCGTCACCCTTTTAGACAAGTACCTACATAACTTTAAAGGAATAGTTCACACAAAATGAAAATTTGCTGAAAGTTTACTCACTCTCTAAGGCCATCCAACATGAGATAAATTTGTTTATTCATCAGAACAGATTTGGAGAAATGCAGCATTACATCATTTGCTCACCAATGGATCCGCTGCAGTGAATAGGTGCTGTCAGAATGAGATTTCTTAAAGCTGATAAAAACATCACAATAATCCACAAATAATCACATGACTCCAGTCCATCAGTTAACGTTTTGTGGAGAGAAAAGCAGCATGTTTGAAAAAACAAATCCATCAAGGCATTTTTAACTTCAAACTTTTATATCTCCTCTCACCTGAATCAGGAGAGAAATATACTCGGATGTTTACAAGCGAAGAAGTCTAAATCAGTTTTTAAAAACAAATTAATTTTTGATTTTCATGTGAGACGACAACAGGACTATTTTGGCCAGAAGTGACAGTTTAAAAATGTCTTGATGTATTTTTACATCAGTCAGATATTTAATACCTCATGTTGTGAGCACCTATTTATTGAATGTTAATTTAATCTATTTTCCCTTTAAAAGGCGAATAAGTTCATTTAGTATTTTAATTTTATTGTAATTATTTTACGTCAGAATGTGTGTGCTTTGCATAAGTGAATTTATATCTGCGGTTGCATTTGTCATTTTCATTTTGGGAAAGGATTAAAAAAAAACATTTAAATTCATTTTTACTGATGACATTTGACATCATGATATTTCAAAATTTAGTTAAGAAGTAATTTAATTTAATAGCACAGCTCATGTGGTGCATTTAGGTTTTTAGACTTAGTAGAGTTTAGTAGGGTAATCAAAGCCTTTTTTACTACTAAGTGGAGGCACTGGCATTTGTGTGATCTGTTAAAATTGAGGGTGAAATGATTCACAAAGGAAGAACAACACCTGAGGGAAGGGCCAAATTATTTTCATCTAACACTTTATGAATATAAGCAGGAAGTCATCATTCTGTACAAAAGCATAACATTGCAGTTCTCAATGCAGATCCTGGAGATCAACCTTCATACTTGACAGGAAAAAGGGTTGCATTTGAATTTTGGTTTGAGTATGGTCGCCTAATTTTTTTTTTCTTCTAAAAACGTGAAGCATCTTTATTCTAAAACAATTTAACCAATTAATTTAATGTTCATTCATTTTATTTATTAGCTATTAATCATGCTCCCTGACCCATCCTTAAATTCCATAATAAGAGAGTTTCCATCCACATTTGTGTTTTTGCAAGTCAGCAGTCAGTGCAATCAGCTTGTTTGCTGCTTTTTGCTTCATTATCTGCGCCAATACATAAAAAAAATACAAAATATTGTAATTGTAATAATATTCATTTAATAATTATGCAATTTAATTATAATTGTGATCATAACAGAAAACAAATTTTTTCTGGTCAATAAAACAGTTTAACCTTCATTTTCCCCACCTTATTGTGCTGTTTCTGGTCAAAAATTAGCATCTTTCAATTAGCATCTTTCATCTTTCAAGCACATGCACCTCAGTTTTTGAGTTTTTTTTTTTTTAATTATCCACAAATAATGCTTTTTCTTCACTCAAATACTGAGGTGCATACTAAACCTGTGCTAATAGAAAACAAGTCGTCAAAAAGACTGAATCCCTGATTTGGTGCTAATATAGCATAATTAGCTATGTTTCCATCCAAAGATTCGAATTAAACGTATGTGCAAAACTGGAATATCGTATAAAACCTATGCAAATAAAACACCGTTTCCATCCAACGAGTCAAAGTGAACAAAATCGTCACTGCCTGCTAAACTGTGGCACTAAATATCACTAAGAATATAGGAGAAGCCACTGAATATAATAGTTTTCATATATGATATAAACTACTTGCACCTCAGAGCGAGCAGATGTAACAATAAATGCTGTGAATGCTTTCGTCACTAAGAATATAGGAGAAGCCACTGAATATAATAGTTTTCATATATGATATAAACTACTTGCACCTCAGAGCGAGCAGATGTAACACAATAAATGCTGTGAATGCTTTCGGAGGTGGATTCTGCTGTTTGGGAATGCAGTCGTGTAAGACAATTATACAGAAATACTTTGATGACAGACTTTGCTCAGGCATTTCAGAATAACCATAACAACATATAGATGCTGTGAACGAGATCGGTCCGCTGCTAGTCAAGTTATCCCATCTCATAGCACAAAGTCACATTACTTTTTCAATGCGCATGGAGGAATTTATTCAGTAAATGTGTTTCCATCGTAGTCACATAGCTACTGTCACACCCCTGTTTTGTTGTGTTTTCTTCCTCATGTGCCCGTGACCTAGTTTTCCCGTCTGTCTGATTGTGTCATTTGGTTCAGGTGTGTCTTGTTAATCATTTTCATTTGCCTGTGTATTTAGTTCAAAGTGTATTTAGTCCTTCTCATATCACTTCAGTCTACAGTACACATTCAATTCAAGATTCAAGTATAACATTCATATGTGTGACTGAGAAACAATCCTCTAGTGGCCAAGGAAATATTATAATTCCACTAACCAGGAGGAGGAAGGAGTATGTTTTCTTTTCTGTCATTTTTAAAGTGGTGATTAAAGCAGTATTTTTGGGACAGACAGATTATTTTTGAAATCTTAAAACAAAAAAAGTGTGCTTCTCATATCACTTCAGTCTACAGTACACATTCAATTCAAGATTCAAGTATAACATTCATATGTGTGACTGAGAAACAATCCTCTAGTGGCCAAGGAAATATTATAATTCCACTAACCAGGAGGAGGATGTTTTCTTTTCTGTCATTTTCTGTCAAAGTGGTGATTAAAGCAGTATTTTTGGGACAGACAGATTATTTTTTAAATCTTAAAACAAAAAAAGTGTGCAAATGACTTTAGTTTTCTTAAATGTCCCAAGTCCCGTCTGGATCGTTCATTAATAAATCTGCTAACGAATCTTTCTCTGAGAAGTTTTGCCACTGAACTAACTAGTCATAAGCAAGCAAGGCGATTAAAGCAGTATTATTGGGATAAAGAGCAATTGTGCGTACAGTGGCTGTGGTACCAAGGTGCACCACTGAGACAGACCAGACAAAACATTCATATAATAAAATATCCAAAGTAACACAGTGGTTGGTTGGTCTCAAACAAGATTAAATATCTACAAACTTTAGCAAAGGAAATAAAAGTTTTGCACAAAGCAGCGAGCAAGATAGCAGAAAAGGAACTAGTTTCATTTTAAATTTTTGTTAACGTTTTAGTAATTTTATTGTTTTGTCATATATATATATATATACACACTGAACAAAATTATAAACGCAACACTTTTGTTTTTGCCCCCATTTTTCATGAGCTGAACTCAAAGATCTAAGACTTTTTCTATGTACACAAAAGGCCTATTTCTCTCCCACTCCTCTTCAATGGCTGTGCGAAGTTGCTGGATATTGGCAGGAACTGGAACACGCTGTCTTATACGCCGATCCAGAGCATTTTGCCTAGACTATTGCCTAGTCCTGGCTTAGTCTAAACCCTGTCTGTGAAACCAGGCCCATATGTTAGGCTTTAGAGGATTAAAAGTGAATCATGACACTTTAATAATATTATTCATGATGCTAATTGTTTTTTCGAAGAAGTAGTTTTATTCTATTAACCAGAAGCAGTACATACAACACATTTTCTGTAGTTGAAACACATACACAAAAAAGAACAGAGAGTAATTATAATTTAACATTTTTAAACAAAATATTTACTAGCAAAATGTTTTTAAAAAGATGCAATTAAACAGCATTTTGTTGTAGATTAATGGGGGGAAAGCTAAAATAACTGCAGCTTTGATTTTGCCACTCTTTAATTTTCAGTGTTAAGCTTAGATCTGTATTTTATCCTTGACACAGATAGCATGTGGCGGTGTGATCTATGAGCGGGACCTCCCGCTCCACACCAACCAGAATTCAACTGTGATGGGACCTTTAGCCTCAGGCTTGAGTCAGAATTCATGAACCACTGCTCTTCAGAGGAGCTCAGATCAGCAGGTGCTGCGGTGAATGAATCTGTGAGCCAGTCATATTGGCCACTATTGTCAGAAAAATATATTGAGGATTAAAATTAAATGTGCTTTATTGCCATTTATGGTCCTATGAAGAATTGGAGAAACATCCATGGAATTTTCCAGTGCACAAAAGGTGCACAGATAGTGTGATAAAGTTCTTTAGATTGTTAAAATGTTCTTCACACTAAGAAGAAAAAAAATGGTTCTTTTAAGAACTGTTCACTGAAAGGTTAATGGTTTCACTTTATTTTGATGGTCCCTTTAACACATTCTGTTGACTATAAGTAATGTTGCACCTACATGTCTACTAACTCTCATTAGAGTGTTAGTAGAGTATTAGTAGACTGGTAGAGTTAGGGTTAGAATAAGTTGACATGTACTTGCAAAGTTGCTTATAGTCGGTAGAATGCCTGTTGGGAGACCATGACAATATAGAGTTAGCAGACATTAAGCAAACAGTCTACTAATACTCTGATGAGAGTTAGTAGACACATAGGTGCAACATTACTTATTGTCAACAGAATGTTCAAAAGGGACCATCAAAATAAAGTGAAACCATTAACCTTTCAGTGAACAGTTCTTAAAAGAACCATTTTTTAAAATTAATCTATATTTACAACATTTGAGTGAATGATCTGACCTTGTCTGCCAGATGTGGCAGGTGCTTGTCTTTGCCCTGCAGCTGGAGATTTAATTCATTCAACTTAGATTCGCCAGTATCATTAGAAATGAGTCATTACTAAACTTGCTGGCACATTTGTTCATTCCTTTGCCCTTGAGGAAAATTCAAACATTGTCTCCTAGACTTGTGGGAGAGACATCTAAAACCATGTTCACACATACTGTGACATACTTGCATGTGCAAATAACCAAAACCTAAACCAGATTATCATATGTAATTGAGGTATCCCATTCACATTGGAAGGATTCTGCTCGCTTGTGCAAACTTTACCATGAAATTGTACAACTGTATTGTATTAGTATTGTATTGCATATTAATATTGTATATAGTATTGAAAAAAAAAAGATTTGACTAACCTTTTTCTCAAAATTGCAAGATATAGGCACACTCACAATTGCAAGTTATAGTCAGAATTGCGTGATATAAAATTGCAATTGTATGCAATCACGTTAGAATTGTAAGAATTGAATTGGACTTCAACTGGACTGGCAATTGAGAATTTATATATATATATATGAGTTTATATCTCATAATTTTGACTTTGTTTACGCAATTGTGAGTTTATATCTTGCAATTCTGACTTTATAACTGTCAATTACAAGTTTATATGGCGCAATTCTGAGAAAGAGAAAAAAAGTCAGAATTGTGAAATGTAAAGTTGCAATTGCGAGAAAAGTCAGAATTGCAAAAAAAAGGCAGAATTGTGAGTTTATATCTCATAATTCTGACTTTATTTTTAAGCAATTATGAGTTTATATTCCACAGTTCTGACTTTATAACTCTCAATTGCAAGTTTGTATCATGCAATTCTAAGAAAAAAAGTCAGAATTGCAAGATGTAAACTCGCAATTATGAGAACAAAGTCAGAATTGTGAAATAAAAAGTCAAAAGTCAATGCAAATATTCTTTTAATAAATCCACAAGAGGGTAAATACAGGACAGGCAGGCAGGACACACACGTAGGGACTTAGTAGACCGGACAGGGGAACACATATCAAGAGTAACATTTGTTATTTTGGTTTGACCACATTGGATGTTGAATTAAAAGGGCACAGCTCAAGCTTTTTATCAGAAGTAGTAGCTCATAAAATCTGAAATTAGCTTTTAGCAGTTCTTTTATTAAATCATAATGAAATACTCTATGGTGCCATATGAATAGGTGGAAGAATTACAAATTAAAACATTAAAAGAAAAACGAAAAACAAATGATAAAATATGAAGGGTGTCATCACATCTGTTGTACCAAATGGAGCCATGCTGGTTCTTTGAAACAACACCACAAACAGAGATCAAGCAAAAGTGTTTAAACGCTAATGATGACTTTGAGGCTCTATGAACATCTGACAATCTGCTCTGAATCATGAAATCAGTGCACGCACTGCTCCCTCGAGATTGTAAATATAATTGATTCAAAATGTTTTTAATAAAGAGTCCATGAACTCTCAACAAAGCAGCGTGGGTCAGTTCTTGATGGGAATGTTCGATAAATGCGAGCATGCAGGGAAGTTGTGGCTCTTATTCAGAGAGTACATATAACTTTTCTAGAAATATTCTTCATAATTATTGTACTTGTTGCACTCTGTATATTTCACACGATTGTTTATTTTATATTGAGATTACCAGCTGCAGCATGGGTAAATATTATATTAAACTGGTATGTTACACTTAGTTCACCCATTAAAAATAAAAAGGGTCATAGTTACCAAGTTTTATTTTTCTTTCTTCTGTGAAACAACTGGCTTTTACTGAAGTTCCTCAATTTTTTCCCCACAAAATGACCAAGGCTTGCTCACCTAATATTAAATATTAAAACTTCAAGAACTCAAACGCACTACCATGTTCTTGTACAGCATAAGGAATATCCAATGACGAGTGCCTGAACTCTCAAAAATCTGCTCAAATGTCTTAAGGTCAAAGTCAATTTGTTTATATAGCTAGTGTATGCCAAAGTGCTGTACATATACAAATAAAGTAAATATAGAGATTAAGAGAATAAAAAGAAACGACTCAACAAACACATAATCAATACAAAAACACATAAAAATACACAAGCATACATTTCATCCAAAAGCCAAGGAATACAGATAAGTTTTCAGGCGGGATTTAAAAACAGGAAGGGAAGGTGCAGATCTAATGTCCAGTGGTATGCTGTTCCATAGTCTAGGACCGGCTACAGAAAAAAGCCCGATCTTGAATTAACCTTTCTTAAATGAAATATAAAGTGATGGGAACACACATTTTGACAGTTGGAAGTCGAATATCATATACTTTTATTGTATTGCCACTGCTTTCTCCTGATGCAGTTAGTACTTGATGAATTGAACAGTACATACAATATCCACAAATTATAGAGAGAGCAAACAATACATCCAGAGAACAGATGGACTGTAGTTTTCAGTACAGTGCATATTTATCAGGTGAGAGCTGGAGGGAGGCAATCAGACAGAGATGATGTGACATATTTACAAATCCTTTCATACAATATTAAATTCGTGCAATCCATCAATCTATTTTTTTTCAGTTTTTTATTTCCATTCTAAATACTTTTAATGGAGTTACACAGAAGTCAAATATGCTTAACACCATGCAAATTATTTAAAACAGTAACAAGCACATTTGCTTGCTTGCATTTTGACATTATAAAGCTTGTAGTTTTAAAGAACAAGTTTTGTTCTGATCTGTAATTTCTAAAGACTTGTCAGAAACATTGTGACAGCTAAACAAACACACACACGCACGCACGCACGCACGCACACACAAAAACAAAACTTTACTATATACTTATATTTATATTTACTATATATTTACTATATTTTTTACAATTTTCTTTTTTTTACAAATCAGGATCTCCTTAAAAGGAGGTTTTGCCTGATTTGGGACACTTTTGGGTCTAAATTTGTCCCCAAAATGTGGTGAAAATGTTAAAAGCTCATATTTTTCATTTTAATACTTGTTATAATTATTGATTACAATGAAATGTAGTCAAACAAACACTGTGGAACAGATGTTATTAGTATGAAAAAAAGGCTATTTGTGGTCAAAATTGACCAACCATAGAAAATGGATGTCAAAGACCCTATAACACAGAACAATTTAATACTGTATGTGTTGAATAAAATCTATATTCTGTTTTAGCCACAATGCTGAACAAACACACATAGAAATGGGACTATAAAACATCCAGTGCAAACACACCGGACACAAACAGCCAGAGAGAGAGAGTATGGAAGCTTATTTCCGCTACGGAATTAAGAACTGTGAGTTTATATCTGAGAATTATGAGGGAACAAGTCAGAATTGTGAGATATAAACTTGCAATTGTGAGAAAAAGTTTCCATTTTTATTAACGTGTCCTGTTGCGGAAACAAACTTCCATAATTGTGAGATGTAAGGTCAGAATTCACAGAAAAAGTCTGTTTTTTAAAAGAATTATAAAATGTAAGGTCTTCATT